AAAATTGTTGCAACCGTTTGAGACGAATGTGCGGAGCGCTAAGGCGAGAGCCACACATTGACAACGAAACGCCCTCCATGCGTAAAGCTGCGGTGGACTTTGACGACGGATGCGCAGGCGAGGGCCACATGTTCAACACGAGCCGCCCTCCATCCGTGCAGCTGCTGCAGGCGTGGATTACGAATGTTCGCGGCGCCACTGCGAGAGCAGCATGCTCAGAACCACTTGTCCTCCACCGTTGGAGTTGCGCAGGTGTGTGGCGAGGAGGAGGAGCAGGAGGAGGAGGAGGAGGAGCAAGAGGAGGAGGAGGAGGAGGAGGAGGAGGAGGAGGAGGAGGAAAAGGAGGAGGCGCCAAGACGAGAGCCACATTTTCAGCGCCGCCCGCTCTCCATCCGTGACCTTGTTGCAGCTTTGAAGGGGTCACGAGTGGCGAGGAAGTCCCAGGCGAGTCGCCCCGCCCGCCCTGCAGACACGCCCGGACGTGCGGCAGGGAGGAGTCGTTTACCAGGGAAGGGGTGGATGAGGAGGAGGATGAGGATGAGGAGGCAAAAAAGCAAAGAGGGGGAAATGGGAGAACGAGGAGGAGGAGGAGGAGGAGGAGGAGGAGGAGGAGGAGGAGGAGGAGAAAGAGGCCGATGTGAACGGCGCCCCAACATACTTATACTATATGTGCGTCGCACCCCCAGGGGCGACGCGCGCACCGAGACATCTTCTGGTATATGCGTCGTGGATGGCGTTTCCTGGCCACGCCGCTCGGGAAAATACATACTACAAGATGGGTATACTATATGTTCGGGTTCGGAAGCGCGCCTCCAAGGAGGACATGTAGTATGAGCATGTCCCTGTGCATACCACGATCCCACGATCGAGGAGCCTAAGATCGTCATGGCCCAGCGCATCATCTCGGAGTGGCAGGGCTACCACGACGAGGTGCAGCGGTTCCAGGACGGGGCCGAGAGTTCTTCTCAAAGAAGTGCTCCGCACTTGCCCCCACCTCCAGGAAGGGGAGGGAGGGCGAGGAGGAGGAGGAGGAGGAGGGGAGGGAAGAGGGGAGGAGGGCGAGAAGGGCGAGGAGGGCGAGTAGGAGGAGGGGAGGGGTGGGCGATGGGGATCAGCAGGGCCTAATGCTCCATGCCAGTTCCACTGTCTCCCACCTCGGGGAGGGAGGAGAGGGTCGGGGGTGATTGGGGAGCTGCAGAGGTTTCTGATCGGTCCGATGCGGCTCAAGGATTTCTGGGGGATCCTCGTCCGCTTCCTCCTCCTCCACGCCTCTCCTGCTGTTGCTGATCTTCCTTCCTCTCTGCTTCCTGTTCCTCCACAGTCTCCCTTCTCTCCTCCTGCCCCCCCCCTCTCTGGTTCCCTTTCCCAGCATCCTTCTCCGTTCCTGCCCTTTCCCGGCCTTTCCACGCATCCCGCCAATGGGCTTCACTCCTCTTTCTTATTTTTCTTCTTCTCCTACTCCTACTCGTACTCCTCCTCCTCCTCCTCCTCCTCCTCCTCCTCCTCCTCCGCGTGCTCGTCTCATCCTCCTCCTTCTTCTCCACCTCCCCCTCATCCTTCCGCTTTCTCCCCCTGCTGCTCCTTGCTCATCAGCATCCGGCTTCCTTTCCCCATCTTGCTGATCCCTCCTTCCTCACCCTTCTCCTTCGTTTCGTTTGACACTTGCGGAGCCATTCGAGCGAGCTGCAGCGAGAGATGAGACAAATGCGCAACGAGGGCGCTATGCCTCGCGACCTCCTGGCACCTCATGCCGCGGCGCGGGGCCGCGCTGCCGCCGCGGCCAGGTCCATCGAGGGCATCGGGGCTGGGGCCCCCCCGCCGCTCCCGCGGGGCGCGAATCCCTCTTCTTGCCCTCCTCCTCCTCCTCTTCCTCCTCTGCTCCTCTCCCCTCTCCTCGCTCCTCCTCCCTCCTCCTCCCTCCCTCCTCCTCCTCCTCCTCCTCCTCCTCCTCCCTCCTCTCCTCCTCCTCCTCCTCCTCCTCCTCCTCTCCTGCTCCTCCTCCTCCTCCTCCTCCTCCTCCCTCCTCCTCCCTCCTCCTCCTCCTCCTCCTCCTCCTCCTCCTCTCCTCCTCCTCCTCACCTTCCTCCTCCCCTCCTCCTCCTCCTCCTCCTCTCCTCCCCCGCTCTCCTCCTCCTCCTTCCTCCTCCTCCTCCTCCTCCTCCTCCTCCTCCTCTCCCTCCTCCTCTCCTCCACCTCCTCCTCGTCACTGCCTCCTCCACCTCTCTACCTCCTCCTCACGCAGGCTCACCGCTCCAGGTGATGTCTTGAGACAGTTGAGCCAGTGGACTGTGATAGACTTTTTGGTGTCAGCCCAGGCCGTTCCCAGCACGGCCTAGTCAGCCATGGATCGAGCGCGTGGTAAATCGAGTCGAGCCCTCCTCTTCTTCCTCCCCCCCTCCTCCCCCTCCTCTCCCCTCCTCCCTCTCCTCCTCCTCCTCCTCCTCCTCTCCTCCTCCTCCTCCTCCTTCCTCCATCCTCCTCCTCCTCCTCTCTCCTCCTCCTCCTCCTCCTCCTCCTCTTCCTCCGCTCCTCCCTGTCCTCGCCTGCCTCCTCCTCTTTCCCCCTCCCCTCACCCCCTCGCCGAGGAGGAGGTCGCCGCCCTGCCCGAGGCGGCGCGGGGCGCCGAGGAGGCTCCCGGCATTTCCAGCAAGCCCGAGCTGTGAGAGGGTTTTTTGCCCGGAGGGCGGCCCGCTTCGGTCCGAGCGATCCCGCCGGCCGGGCCGTCCCTCCGCCCTCCTCCCTCCCTCTCGCGCTCCATCCTTCTCGCGCTCTCGCGCTCTCTCCCGCCCTTCCTCTCGTCCCGCTCGTCCCTCCCTCTCGTCCCTCTCGCGCTCTCTCCCTCTCGCGCCCTTTCCCATTCTTCCCCTCGTCCCGCTCGTCCCTCCCGCTCGTCCCGCTCGTCCCTCCCTCCATTCCCTCTCTCTCTCTCTCGCGCTCTGTCCCGCTCGTCCCTCCCTCCCTCCCTCTCGCGCTCTCGTCCGTTTTCAGCAAACCTCCAAGATGAATCACCGCGGTAGACGCTGAGGGTATAGTGATAATTAGCGGATGCTAAGGTGGCTTCTATTTGGCTTAACCTGTCGCCGCGCCGTTTGTTCCGACGAGTGGCCTTACGTCTTGGGGATGGCGCCTCGGCCACCATGGCAAACTCCGCCTCGGGCGCAACGTCTGCCGTGAGTTTGCCGCGGTGTCGGCCTTGTCCACCTGGGCGCGTTCAAAACAAACGGCGACGCATAGGTGATGAGTGGATTAGAAGTGCTCTGAGCGGCACAGGGTTGGTCGAGATCCAGGCTAAGTGGACTTTGCCCACTTCGCGCAGTCGTCGAACGGGTCCAAGCCACTTAGGGCATTTGCATGACTGATGACCGATACGATTCCAGATGGAACCCACCGTCGCATCCACATATAGCCCCCCTACCCGCTGAGCCCTTAGCACCCGAAGGTTGGTCTAAGCAACAGACCTACAATACATTAAGCATGATAAGGCGGAGTTGCTTCTCATTTTCCTGCCTCTGGCGGTCCTCGCTGGGCCTCGGGGCAGTCGCGAAACGCCTCTTCTGAAAAGCTGGCCCCAGGGAAAGGGCCCAGGACTTCCGGATACCGCGCATGAACAACACATCAAGGCATCGGATGCCCGGGCACCTCCATCCCCGGACCCCCCCTCGGAGTTTGAGGTCGTTGCTCGAGGTTGTCAAGGCGTTCTCGTCAGGTCCTGGAGCTTCACCCCGCCGAGAGCTCTCCGTGGGTGCCCCGATCGTCACGCATGGCCGCCAGGGACCCGGGTCATGGCCCGCAAACCAGATCCCTTCGCCTCTCGCGTTCCCTCCCTCGTCGTCGTGCTCGTGCTCCCTCCTCCACCTCCTCATCCTTCTCCACCTCCTCGTCGTCGTCCTCCTCCTCTTCGTCCTCCTCCCTCGTCTTCATCCTCCCGCTTTCCCTCTCACATGTTTGTGGGCGCCAGGAAGCTCAAAGGAAACTAATCCCTCCCTCCCTCCCGCTCGTGCTCCCCAGGCCCCCAGAGGTCTCCAGCACTTCCCCTGAGTGGGCTTTTCATCCTGGGACGTTTGAATTCATGGGCAAAGATATGGGGGGATAGGCATATGTGGCATGCATCGACCCCCAATCGTCCACTCATCGCCGATGGTCGCCCGATAGCTCCGCCCCGCCCAGAAACGTGGGGATCTGCTTTCGGGGGCCTGTCGCCGATCTATAGGCGACGTATCGCCGATTTCAGGTCGATGTCCCCCTCCCACCCCCCCCGTGCCAGTCCCCTTCCCCCCCATCGCTGCTCCTCACCAACGGTTCTGGGGCCCAGTGAGGGCTCTCAAGGGCCGAACACCGTCCAAAGCGTATCGTTGTGCTCTTCCGTCGGCGTGGTGGCGCTTGGGCCCTTCCTCCACCCCTCCTTCGCCGCAGGCGATCGCTCGCCCCGAATCTTGGCCGCGCACAGAAGGGGGGGTCAGGGGGAGAGGGGCTGCTTCTTAGAAGGCGCGGGCCTTGTCTATAGGTGCAGGGCCAGCGCCTGCGCCTTCGAAAGAGAAGCCTTTCCCCTGCCCCTACTCCATTGTGCGCGCCGCCAGCAATCCGCGAGCTCCTCCGAACAAGTCAGGCCGTTTAGACACGATGTGAAACTCGGGGGATGCCCTTGGGGGCTCTTCGGGCGCACCCCTATCGAGGAGGGACGCCACCCCATCGTGTATCCCCGAATTGGGCTCCAAGTTTTGGTCAAGTCGCAACGGCAGAATCGGTGATTGGGATCGCCATAGTTGGATCATTGCGTGAGTGGATATGGGGTACAGGTGTATGGTAGGGTGGGCCATACCTGGCCTAACCTATTTAATAATAAGTGGGCTGCAAGTGCCCTAAGTGGCTCCTAAGAGGCTTGGGTGGGTTCGATCACCTTCCTAAGGGGGCGGAGCCCCCTCAGCCTGGATCTCTTCCCCCCAAAAGCCACTTGGGGCATACCTGGCCAGCTTGAAAGCTACGTTCGGCCAGACTTTACACACCTTCGCTCGTATAACCCTCCGATCCACTTAGCAGCCTCCGCGGTGACCCAAGTGGGGTCGCCATACAGTGGAGACCCATGCCAAGAAACACCATGCTGGCCTTCAGGGTGCCCTGGGTTTCGTGGGCTTCTCGATGGTTCTGCTAAAGAAGGGAGTGGCGCTCCCGCGCCAAAAATCTGTGGACGTCCTGGGGTCTCAGGGCCGAATCTCTTCTGGGAGGCTTCTTGTGGTCGAGCTCCTGCGGCACTCCCCGTTGCTCCCCCTCTTCTCCCCCCCCCCGGGGCGCTCCCCAGTAGGCAGGCTCCTGGCGCGCGGCTGCGCCGTCGCGCCTCACCGCCAGGGACGCGCACGGGGCGCGAGCGGAGAAAACAGCCCACAGAGAGGGCAGGGACTCGACGAGGGCGCTCCTCACGCGGGAGGCCCCTGAGAGCTCCAGTGGTCTCAACCTCGCCCCCTCTCGTCACCGTCCCTCTCCTTTTTCCTTCCTTCGCCTCCTCCTCCTCCTCCTCCTCCTCCTCCTCCCCCTTGACGCGCGGCTGCGCCAGTGGAGAGTCTTATCCTCCTCCTCCTCGTCCTCCTCCTCCCCCTCCTCCTCCTCCTCCTCCTCCTCCTCCTCCTCCTCCTCCTCCTCCTCCTCCTCGTTATCATCCTCCCCCTCCTCGTCCTCCTGCTCCTCCCTCTACTCTCCTTCCGCTCTCTGCAGCGCGTGAGCGTCGTTGTTGCTCAAGCCTGGGTCAGGGGCCGCCCCTTAGGTTCGCCCCTGAAACATAGCAAGCCTCTTCACTCTCGGAACGACGACGAGCCGCAGAGATGTTCGGACGCTCTCGTTGGTTCCCGAAGGTCTTCCAGCCTCGCGATGTGTCCGAATCGTCCCAGACGGACGCCAGATGCCCGAGCTACGGCCCGAGAGCCTCCGATCTTCCCAGACCTCCACTTCGTGTCAAAACCAAGGCCAGGGTTTTCGCAGCTTCCGGCCTCATCGGGTCCCCTGCAGGACCGTTAGAAGGCGACTCAGGACGACAAGCCAGCCCCGGGGTATGCGTCGAGCCCTACGGGATACCGCGTCGAGGCAGAAAGACGAGGCAGGAAGACGAGGCAGGAGGCAGGAGCACGGGCGAGGCATCGCCCTCCTCGCCCTCCATCGGCCCCCCGCCCCCGATCAGGAGAGCCTGTGGCCCCTGCAGAAGCCCCAGTGACATCCTAAACGCACTCCCTACTCCCCGGTCCCCGGCCCTATAACCTCCTCTTCATGAGATTGTTTTGTCTTCGTTGAACACGTAACACTCGTTACGGAGGGGTCGCCCCCCCTCCCCCGCGTAACGGTAATGAACGGAAGGGAGTGAGGGTAGCTGGCCTCCCCACAGGTACGGCGCCGTGCTCACAGGCATGCTGTGGTGCTGACAGGCACTGGAAGGCCTCCAGACACCTCCAGAGGCAGCTGTCGTCGTCGTCGTCACCGTCGTCGTCGATGCCGGCATCGTCGTCGTCGTCGTTGTCGTGGTTGTCGTCGTCGTCTTTGCCGTCGTGGTCGTCGTCGTCGTCGTCGTGGTCGTCGTCGTCAGCATTCGCGCCGTCCTCGTCGCCGTCGTCGCCGTCCATCGTGGTAGTTGTTGTGGTCGTGGGTGTCGTTGGCGTCGTTATCTTCGTCGTCGTCGTAGTTGTGGTTGTCGTCGGCGTCATAGTCGTTGTCGTGGTTGTCTTCGTCGTTGTCGTGATCCTCGTCGTCCTCGTCGTCGTCTTCGGCTTCTTTTTCGTCGTCGTCGTGGTTGCTGTTGTTGTTGGTGGTGCTGCTGGTGGTGTTGTTTTTGGTGTTGTTGTTGGTGTCGTTTGTCTTTGCGTTTTCTTCGCTGTCGTCGTCGGCGTCGTCGTCGTCGTGTCCGAAGGCTTCGAAGGGCCTCCAGACGCATCCAAAGGCCTGCAGAGATCTCCTCAGGCGTCTGGAGACTTCTGGAGATCTTCAGAGGCGGCCGTCGTCGTCGTGTCGTCGTCGTGGTGTCGTCGTCGTCCTCGTCCTCGTCCTCGTCCGCATCGTCGTTGTCGTCGTCGTCGTCGTCGTCGTCGTCGTCGTCGTCGTCGTCGTCGTCGTCATCGTCATCGTCATCGTCATCGTCATCGCCGTCAACTCGGAGGGCCTCGGGGGGCCTCCAGGCACCTCTAGAGGCATTCGGATACCTCCTGACATCCGGAGACCTTTGGAGACCTTCAGGTACGGTCGTCGTCACCGTCTTCGTCGTCGTCGTCGCTGTCATCGTCGTCGTCGCTTTCGTCGTCGTCGTCGTCGTATTCGCCGTCGTTGTCGTCTCCGAGGGTCCCGAAGGGCCTCCAGAGTCCAGATGCCTCCAGTGGCCTCCGGAGATCTCCAAGGGCATCCCAGAGACTTCTGGAGACCTGTATGCAGAGGCGTCTATCGTCGTCGTCGTCCGGCGCCGCCCCCCTCCCCCCCCCTTGGGGCCCGACGAGGTTACTGTCACCCCTATGGGGGCCCTCCCCCCCCCTCCCCCCCGTAACGGACCTTCCTACGGGGGGGGAGGAGATAAACAAAAGCAACCCCTTCTTTTTCCTCCTCCGCCTCCTCCTCTTTCCTCCTCCCGCCGCTCCCGCCTGCAAAATATTGGCGTCGACTCTGTTCGCCTCAACATCGGTGGACACTGTGCCTTTTTCTTCTCCTGGCCCCCCCCCTTCTCCTCCCCTCCTTCCCTCTCTTCCTCCCCCCCTTCCTCCCCCCACACCCTCCCTCTCCTCCTCCCCCTGCCCCCTCACCCTTCTCCGCTTCACCCCTCCCCCCCCCCCCCCCCTCCACATCTCGCCATGAAGGAAGCGGATCCCGAGGGAAACGGATCCCGAGGTTCTTCTCTGCTCTTGCCTCCCCGGGGCCCTCCACGGGCCCCTGGCCTGTCAAGGCAACGGCTCGCGAGACCAGGCGATGCTCCCGGGGGCAGGCCCCGAGGTCCAGATCCCGCTCCCCTCAGGGCCCGCTTCCTCGGCGGCGAGCGCGGGGGGGGGAAAGCGCGACGGGGCGGGCCTTCTCAGAGGGCGCGGAAGCCCCCCGGCCCTCTGAGGAGCTCCCCGAGCCTTCCCCGAAGGCACGGAAAACATGTCTCGGAGGGCCGGCGCGTTTCCGAGAGGCCCCGCCGCCTTCTGAGGAGGCCTTCTCTTCGGTCCCCCCCCCCGCGCTCGCCGCCGATGTGCTTCGTGCCTTCCCCCCCCCACACCCCGAGATGTCGGGAGGAGGGGGAGGAGGGGGAGGAGAAGGAGGAGGAGGAGGAGGAGGAGGAGGAGGAGGAGGAGGAGGAGCAGGAGCAGGAGGAGGAGCAGGAGGGGAGGAGCAGGAGGAGGAGGAGGAGGAGGAGGAGGGCGGCAGAGGCGATCGAGAGGCCGAGCTCCGGAGCGGCCGGGTGGCGGGCAGGGGGCCCCGCCGGCAGGCCATCGACGCGTGCCTCTTCGCGCCTTTCACCTCCGCCGAGGCGGGCGGGTCTCCTTGTCGGCGGCGAGCGAGGGGGGAAATGAGAAGGAGGAGGAGGAGGAGGAGGAGGAGGAGGAGGAGGAGGATTGAGGACCAGGAGCAGGAGCAGGAGCAGGAGCAGGAGGCTCCTGGAGGGGTTCTGATGTCCTTGGCCTCTCTCCAGGGTCGGGGGCCCAACGCCCGCCCCCAGAGCCGCCCGGGGGCCCCCTTCCTGGGCAGAGGTTCGAGAAGGCCTTCTCCGAAGGCGGCGGGGTTGCTCTGTCAGAAGGCCCCTGGCCTTCTGAGAGGTTTGTTGCGTCTTCGGGGAGGGCTGGGGCCATGTCTCAGAAGTCCCGGGAACTTCCGAGCCCTGTGAGGAGGCCCTCTCCTTCTCACTTCCGCACCGGACGCGCCGCCTATCTTTTGCTCGGGTGCAAGTCCTGCGAGGTCAAATTCTGATTTTGCCCTGGTCCGAGATCCAGCTTAATCCCGCTGAGTCCCTTATCAATCCCGCTCAATTCTGCTGAATCCCCGTCAATCCGGCGTATCCCGCTCAATCCGCGGCCGAATATGGCGCAGCAGCCCCTCATCAGGGTTCAATCTTCCCTACGTAATCGTTCCGACGAAGACCTCCCAGTAGTTGCCTCCTAATTTTGGCGCTTCATCTACAAGCCTGGCACCAAATCTCTCGGTCCTTCAACCCCTCGAATCCTCCGAGCCCTCGATGCTCGAATCCTAGGCCTCGATCCTTGATGCCCTCGAGCCTCGATCCTCGATCCTAGGCCCTCGATCCTTGATGCCCTAGACCCTCTTCGGCGCCCCAGCCCAGGCCGCAAGCCGTCCGTTGTGGGAGGTCCCCGTCAGGCAGGCCTAGGATGGTGATAAGTCGCTGAAGAGCGTTCCGACACGCTCTCATATTACCAGCCTGGAACAGAGCTCTGTCCCTATGTTTGCCATGGCCTCATCCCGATGCCGATGGTGAGGGCTCCCTCAGCTTCTGAGGGCGCACCCCGAAGATTGCCATGGCCTCGTGGCTGGCCGGCCTCGGGGATCGGGACCAGCTCGAGGCTGGTTGCGGCCCTCTGCTGGCGTTCCGCCCGAGCGACGGGAGACCATGTGGTCGACCGCGCGGACGCTCGAGCGCAAGCTTCCCGCATGCTCCAAAATCCCTTATGCATCGTCCCCTGGGTCCGGTTTTTTTTTACGCGCCTTTTCTGTCACCGGGGGGGTCCGGCTCATCAGGGCGCTCTCTTCTGGAGGGGAGCTCAGGAGGTCCGGCTTATCAGGGCGCCCCGTCGGAGAGGGGGGTCCAGGATGTCAGGTCGCATCTGGAAGAGGGTCCTGTAATTGAGGGGGGGCTCGACTAATAAGGGATCTGGAGTAGGGTCGCGCGCGCGCACCCTTCCACGCGGGGTGCCACGCTGGCGGCCCGCGCAAGCCGTGGCCTCAGGGCCTCTGGTGGTTTCCTGCGTGATGCCCATCTCCTGAAGGAAGAGAGGGAGGAGGAGGAGGAGGAGGAGGGGAGGGAGGAGGAGGAGGAGGAGGAGGAGAGGGAGGAGAGGAGGAGGAGGAGGGAGGAGGATGAGGAGGAGGAGGAGGAGGAGGAGGAGGAGGAGGGGGAGGGGAAGGAGGAGGAGGAGGAGGAGGAGGAGGAGGAGGAGGAGGAGGAGGGGAGAGGAGGAGGAGGAAGAGGAGGAGGAGGAGGAGGAGGAGGAGGAGGAGGAGGAAGGAGGTATGGCCTTCTGCGTAATGCCCATCTCTTTTCGTCGCTCACCTGTTGTGACGCGGTGCCCTCGCGCAGAGCGGACACATGAGGTCCTGTTCGGCAGCAGGTCATGGGAGCCTGGTATACCTACTCAATTCCGTCTGTAGCGTCGACTAGCGTCGATTAGCGTCTGGGAGTCGCTGAGATAGCGCCGGTTTAGCGTTGGTCAGCGTCGTTTAGCTCCGATTTAGCGTCGGTTAGCGTCGATTCGCGTCGATTTAGCGTCGATTAGCGTCGACTAGCGTCGACTAGCGTCGATCAGCATCAGGTTAGCAGGAGCCGGCATGATGGTATGGGAGGCTTCCATGAGTTGCCACCGAAGGGTGGGCAGATGAGGTCTTGCGGTCTTGTCGTGAAGGGGCGGGGCGCGACGGCGGCACACTCCAGGCAGGACAGCTCGCCTCCTAGGCGAGGGCCGCTCCCATCACCTCCCCCTTCTCCTTCGATGCCGACTGCAACTCCGAACCTGATTTATCGGGCTCCTCCTCGGACTTCTCCTCCTGGTCCTCTTCCTCTTCTTCCTCCTCCTCCTCCTGCTCCGCCTTCTCCCTCCTCTTGGTGCTCCTGCCTCAACTGCTCCTGCGCTGCTTGCGTCCTGCCTCCCCTGCTCTCCCTCATACTCATCATCATGCTGTCCCTCTGCTACACGCGTTTTGCCATGCTGAGACCGTTGTGCCCACGTACACGTCTTGCGAATACGCGGCGCCCCAGGCCTCGAACTTGATCCTCTGCAAAGGGGACCACTTGGAGGCTTCCGGCTGGCCGGTGGCGGAGCGCCTGAGTCGTGCGGAAATCAGCCGGAAGGAGGGGTTCCAGAAATCTTCCGCCCTTCGTGAATGTCGTGGTTCCCAGCGTTTCCCTGATGAAGATTCCCGTGGTACCTTTTTGTGCTCACAGTGGCGTGCAGACTGCGAAGAGCTCAGCTCAAAACCATCATGCCAGGCAGTTGTGCAGGGGGATGCAGACCCTGGGAGGCTGAGTGAGTGATCTGCCCTGGAGGACTCAGACCCTGAGATACCCGTTGCTGACAAACCCATGGAGGCCTGGCAGGGACTGCGCGGTCCGTTCTCGGCGTTGCTTGAGGCATCCCCACGGGACCTGGCGCAGCGATGTGCAGCACGGGGGCCCCGGGGCCCCCGACTGCGACGCCCGGTGTTCGCCCATCGCCTCGGCCTCTGGTCCGGGCCTGCAGGGGCACCTGCGTGCACCGCCCCCGCCCCCAGGGAGCACACGCCGTGATTGCGTGGGCCCCGGGAGCTCTCGACCCCTTATATCCTTGGGATAATATGATGTTCCAACCTGCTTTAGCCTTGATCGCCAGGAGGAGTTTCGAGCACCAAGAAAATACCGAAACTGGAGGGTTTTCACGTGTCGGGCCCTGGGAGGCGATGCTCGTTCGACACCGTTTCGATACTTCTCTGGGTGCTCGAAATTATGTTTGGGATCTAGTCCTTTAGTACGATGGGAACAACATAACCCTTGGACTAGGTCAGGCGTGTCCCCCTACAGGCTGATTTTGGACGAACAATAAATATGCCCCAACAATGTTCAAACACATTTAACATTTAAATACAGTCGACAAATCGTCCCCATATTATTCCCTACCTAGGCTCTGCCTAGAGGGTTCTTACTCTCTTTCTTAAAGGGGCCGGGCAGTGCAAACCGCCCCGGGCGGTTCCCCCGGTATCCGCCCCGCGGTTCCCCCAGTTACGTCCCCTTAGCTTAGCGTTGCTTATCTCATCTTAAAGCTTAGCTTAGTTAATCTTAGCTTAGCTTTGCCTAGCCTAGCCTAGCTTAGCTTAGCTTAGCTTAGCTTAGCTTGGCATAGCTTAGCTCGGCATAGCTTAGCTTAGCTTAGCCTAGCCTAGCTTAGCTAAGCTTAGCTCAGCATATCTTAGATTACCTTAGTAGCTTGGCGCAGCGCAGCATAGCGCAGCGCAGCATTAGCACAGCACAGCACAGCATAGCATAGCCAAGCATAGTACAGCATAGCATAGCACAGCTCAGCATATCATAGCATAGTATAGCATAGCATAGCGCATCATAGCATAGCATAGCACATCATAGCACTGCTTAGCATAGCACAGCGCAGCACAGCCTAGCACAGCATAGCATAGCATAGCATAACATAGCATAGCATAGCGCAGCGTATCATATCATAGCATAGCATAGCAAGGGAAACACAAAGGCAACAGCAACAACAAGGGCATTGCAAATCAAAAGCAACACCAAGGCGAACTTGTAGATGTAGATGTAGATGTAGATGTAGGTGTAGGTGTAGTTGTGGATGTAGGTGTAGATGTAGACGTAGGTGTAGATGTAGATGTAGATGTAGATGTAGATGTGAGTCTCGCTGTTGATGTTGATGTATCTGTAGATGCAGGTGTAAATATAAATGTAGCTGTCGGTGTAGATGTAGATGTTGCTTCCCCAAATGCTCCAACTCCTAGGTAGGGGGCGCACTGGGAGGATCTTCAAACCCAGTTTCGAATGCTTCTCCTCGAGAGGGACAGGTCCAACTCAGAAGCACGACGGGGGGAACACAAAAAACAGATCCCTGGGAGCGGCTCCCACCACGCGAGGCGCCCCGGCAACAAACAGAGAACAGGGCCTCGCCGCCGGCGCGCCTCTCGCCCTCGGCCGGGCCGGCGGCGGGCGCGCGGGCGCGCGGGCGGGAATGGGGCGTCGGGCCGGCGGGACCGCCCGCGGAGGGCGGTCGCCACGGGGGAGGCGGGTCCCGAGGGAGAGGGGTCCCCCCCCTTCTCCTCCCCTCCTCCCTTCCCTCCCTCTCCCTCCCCCCCTCCCCTCCCTCCCCCCCACCCCTCCCCTCTCCTCCTCCCCCCCCCCTCCCTCCCCCCCCCCCTCCCCTTTCCCCCCTGACCCTTCTCCCGCCCACCCCTCCCTCCCTCCCCCCTTCCCACACCTCGCCACGTCCCTCCAGAGGAGGAATAACTACCCAGAGATAGTCCAGGAGTAGTCTGGGGACGAGCTCTTTCTTATTTGTTGGGCACCTGTAGGGTACATTTCTGATGGTTCGTCCGTCCAAAAATCCGCCTGCAGGGGGACACGCCCGACCTGACGGAAGCCCGCGGTGGGTGGTCGCCACGGGGGGAAGCGGGCCCCGAGGGAGAGGGGTCCTGAGGTTGTTCGCCGTCGTCGGGCTCTCGGGGCCCTCCGCGGGCCCCAGGACTTGGTCAGGATACGATGCAGGATGCAGAACTCGTCCTGGGGTAAGGCCCCCCGGGGTCCAGGACCCGTTTCCCTTCGGGAGCCTCGAGACGGGGGTCAGTGCAAACGGGGGTCAGCCAGAGCGCCCCGACCATGCAGTGTCCTGCAGGGCCAGGGTCGCATTGACCCGGGTTTGGGTGCAGGATCCTGCAGGATCCTGCAGGATCCTTCGCATTGACCCGGGTTTGGGTGCAGGATTTTGCAGGATCTTGCAGGACTCTGCAAGGCCTGACTGACCCGGGTCTGGATTGACCCGGGTCAGCAGGTCCCCGATCCCTCAGGACCCGTTTCCGCCATGCTGAGGTGGGTGGAGGGCAGCGGGGGTTAAAAGGCGGGACGTCAAGGTTTCGGATCCCCCAGCGTCACCCCAGCATACTGATATCATGTGTGCGCGTCGCCCCCGAGGGGGCGACGCGCGCGCGCCAAGAGATGTTGTAGGGTCAGCTCCGTGGCGGGCGCTTTCTGGCCCTGCCGCGCGGGTCACGGTATACTACGAGATGGTCGGATTCTATGTTCGGGTCGGACGAACACCTCGAAGGAGGACACAAAATACTGGTATGTCCTTGTGCGTCCCAATCCAGTGCCTTCTGGAGTCGGCCGCGCGTCGGTTTGGGCAAGGCCATGGGGCCCCAAGGTTGTAGGTGTTGCTCCACCCCCGCATCCGGACCCTGGATCAAATAGCGGCGAAGCGTCCCGACCTGCCTAGAGGCCCACCAACTAATGTTCCGATGATAACCTTGTGTGTTTTGCTGTACAGCATGTTTTAGGCCACATCTGGCTGAGGCAGTCTGGTTGTAATACATTAATACATCGGCTTTTATGTTTCACGCACCTGATTGCTGCTGTCAGAACAGTAGATTGTTCTAAGAACCTGTCGGGGTAGGCCTATATGAGCGCTGGCATTGTCAGTCCCTTCCTGCTCAACTGTAGGTTCCCAAAGGTCTCCAGTCCCCCGAGGTCCTCAGAGGCCTCCGGAGGCCCTCGGAGGCCCGGCAAAACCCAAAACCAAGTCAGCATCTCCCCTTCGATGGAGGTCAAACGTATTGCCCCACAGAGCAAATGTGAGTCAACTGTCTATTCAAATCTGTCTGACTCATGCTGGCTTGGGCTTCCATGTCTTATTCATTCACGCGCTTTGTCGCACTCGTCTTGTGCTCTGTCGACCCTCGAGGGGCGATGGCAAAACTTGGGGCCCCAGTAGGGGCAAGGTGCTCGCAGAGCGGGGCAGCCCGAGGCACGAGCCAGAGGCGGCTGCACGCGCGAGCCGCGGGGCTCGCGCGAGACCGCCCGGCGCGGAGCCGTCTCCTCCCCTGGGGTGATGGGCCTTTTGCCCACCACCACTGCCATCGGTAGGGCGGGGGGAAGGGAGGATGGGGAGGTCCTCCTCCTTCTGCTCCTCCTCCTCCTCCTTCTCCTCCTCCTCCTGTCCGTAGCCATTTTGGCTCAAGGGGCCTTCTCCTGAACTTCCAACCTCGCTCGAGCAATTGAGGCGAGTGGTTCTGAATCCCTTTCGAGTCTTACTGGCCTGGAGTTCGCGACTCCAAGCAGTTTAAACTTTCACGATTACATTTTTCTCTCAGCAGCAGCTATGTCTGCAGGGCAACCGCGTGTTGGGAGGCCAGGATCGGGACAGCGCAGCGGGGGAGGCGGAGGGATGCAGCCTTTCGCGCCTCAGCGTCCGCTCGTGGCCACCAGCCCCTTCGCGCAGGTGGGCCCGCTCCTTGGGCAGCGCATTGCAGGTGCTGTCGGGGCGCGTCAGAAAAAGCAGCCCAAGGCCCCTCCTGCCCCTGGCTCCTCGGCATGCGCTTTCTGCCCGTGCAAGCGTAACGACTCCAACACCAATGTCTGCAAGCACTGTGGCTCGGTCAGGCACATGCCTGCCTTCGACGGCCAGCAGCCGCGCATGGGCGTGTGGGCGGGCCCGTTCCCGCCTGGGCAGTGGAACAGCGCTGACGCCACTCGTGTGCCACTTCCTGGTTCTGGCGCTCGTGGCTCGAGCGATGGCGTGCAGCTCCCTGACCAGCCACATCTGGACACCGCAGAGCTGGAGTCGCTGGTCCGCACCCTGCAGAAGGTCGGCGACAAGGTGGGCGCCGAGCGATACCAGAGTGTTTTGGACCACCGCCGCGCGCCCGTCAAGGAGCCTCCGATCCAGCAGCAAATCACCACGGCGTTTCACCGACTGCGAGCAGCTGAAGGACGGGTCTCGCGCGCGGTGGAGCATTTCGACCAGATGCAGACACAGTTGGACTTGCAGCGCAGTGAGGTCAAGCGTTTCAACGCCGAGCTGCAACAAGCTGAAGAGCGTCACGGTGCCCTTGCTCGTCAACTCCATTCGGTCTACTCAGCGAAGCCCAGCACGGAGACGGCTCAGCTTGCCGCCCTCCAGGATGCGCAGCATCCTGGACGGCACCTTCCGTCCAAGAGCCTGCAGAGTTGTCTGAGCGGGCTGAGCTTCGTCGGGTCACGGAAGCTCTGGGGCGCGAGGGAGATGGGGCTCCGCTCGTGTCCGGGCCGCTGCCGGCATCGAGTTTTGCCGTGGCCAGCCAACCTGGCGCCACCAGAACCGCGGGGCGAACGACGCCCAGCCCAGTACCTGTTCTGCTGTCACCTGCCGCTGCGAGCAGTGACGGGCCTCCTCATGTTCCACCGACTCTGGCTTTGTCTGAGCGGGCTGAGCTTCGTCGGGTGAAGGAAGCTCTGGAACACGAGGAAGAAGAGGCTCCGCTCGTGCCCGAGCCGTCTCGGGCTTCGGTCTTTCAAGCTAAAGTGCAGCGCCTTTTAAGAGCTGCGGGAGGGAACCCGTCGACCTGCGCGGCGGGGAGTGGGGGGCGGGTTTCGGGCGACTCAGACTAGCGCCATGGGGGCTCGGCCCCGACGGTGGCTCTAGCGCGTGCCTGATCTGTCCCTCTCTCACTCTCGGTGCTTGCTCTTCACTTTCGCGGGTTGCCTGTTTCTGTGCTCGGCTCGCAGTAGCTTGTGTAATAGGCGCGGCCCCGTTGGCGGCCGCCCGCCGCGCGGGGCCACCCGCCCGCGGGTCTCTGGGGGCAGAACACCCTTCCGCCCACACCCGCGGCCAAGGCGCCAGCAACGTCTCGCCGCCTCTGCTGGCCCCGCTTCTCACTTGGCCAGCCTTGACCTGGCCAAGAAGCGGCTTGAGCCCTCGGGGGAAACAAAATCCTCCTCCTCCTCCTGTCTTGGGGGGCTCGCGGGACCCGTCGTACAATCGGCCGTTAACTTAAGCGTTAATTTCTCCCCTGGTGGCTCCCGAAGGGCCCCCAAGAGAGGTAAAAAGGCTACCGGCCGTTTACGAATGTTTGACTAAAAGCTCATGAGGCTCAGGGGGGGCAAGTGGCAGCTGGGTAGGCGTGCTGCCAAAGTTGTTGCTGCTGGTCCCGTGCCCAGCTTAACACTTGGGGCCGAAGTCCACGGCCTCTCCAGCTTTTAATGGGAACGGCTGCAGGTTGCAGCCGCCAGCACCATGCAGCCTTCGGCCAAGATGAGGTCTTGGACCTCGCTGCTCATTTACTTAAGAAGTGTGACGGATGTCTTCAGAATGCGGGGGCCAAGTCAGCGTGTATTTCAGCGGGTACTGGTAAGCGCCCCAAGCGGCGAGGCGTTTCTGATGCAGTCGGTCCCTGGTATCGTGACCAGGACACAGAGGAGCTGCCGCGGCGCCTCACTGACCGAGAAAAGGAGCTACGTACTGCCAGTCTCGTGCGCAGACTTGTTGTGGCCGCTGGGGGAGTGCCAGGCCCGCCAGACGTTGCCACACTGGAGGTTGAGCCTCCCATGGGCCAGGCACTTCAGAAACAGAGAGATCGGGTCGGGGTCGTCGTCTGGCCGTCGTCGTCGAGCGCCAAGCCTGCTTCAGTGCCTGAAGCAGAGGTTTTTGACCCGCTAGAGGCGGAGGAAGAAACTGCTCGGTTTGTGGTTGGCAGTCTTGAGGCACGTTTACCTCGCAGCCTGCAGCCATCGTTTGAGCCCCAGTCGTCGACTGCGGAGTCGGCGCGCGTCGGTGACGCCCCTGGCCTCGAAGAGGGAGGGGCTCCCCGCGTCGCCCCTTCTGCGGCGTGGTCCGACGACTCGGACTAAGAGATGCTCCTCCAGGCCACTCAGCCTGCGCAGCGTCTCGGCCTCGACCTCACTTCTTCTAAGGTCTTGGCCTATGGGGGGCGGGCGGTTAGCCGCAGGGCATCCTCCCCGTTGCGGGAAATCGCCCCGCGGCTGTCGCGCCCGCCCTCCCATCGCCTCTTTTCTCCCTGCTCGCTGGCCTGCCTTCATCCAGGCCAGAGAGCAGGCGGCGACGGCGCACCCGTCGTCTGTTGGGCACGGTTGATGTCAAAAAATCCTCCTCATCGTCTTCCTCCCTCCTTTTCCCTCGTCCTCCTCCTCCTCCTCCTCCTCCTCCTCCTCCTCTTCCTCCCTCCTCCTCTCCTCCTCCTGTCACCCTCATCCTCCTCTTCCCCATCCTCCTCCTCCCTCTCCTACCAGTGGTAGTGGTGGTGGAAGGTCGGCCCATCATCGGGAGCCTTGAGACGGGGGTCAGTGCAAACGGGTGTCAGCCAGAGCGCCGGATCTTGTAGGGTCCTGCAGAGCCAGGGGCGCATTGACCCGGACCAGCGCGCAGGATCCTGCAGGATTTTGCGGGTCTTGCAAAGCTTGGCTGACCCAGGCTTGCATTGACCCGAGCAAGTAAATCTTCGATCCCCCCTCTCAGGGCAGAGCGGCCTTCGAGGACGCAGCGTCAGTGCACACCCAGACCTCCAACGCATTGAAGAATCGAGGCCGAGGTTTTCCGCTGCTTTCGGACTCCAGGGGCCCTCGCTGGCTCCGGGACCGTAAACAGAACTGCGCAGGATGAAAAACAGGCCTCAGGGAAGTGGTCGAGTGGTCGAGATCTTTGAGGGTCGACGTTGTGAAAAAGTTGCACATCGGGCAGATGGGGTCGGATGATCGCGCCGCATCGCCGATGCATCGGCGATGCGGCGTGATCCGGAGCCCATTCTGCCAGTGCCGAGGATGCTGTACTTTGGAGAATGCTGAGAATCCGATAAAGACTCGTCCTACTCTGTTCCCGGAGCGGGGGCGGGTCTTTGTGGGGTCCTCGACGTCGTCGCCACCGTACTACCACGGTTGGGAGATTGAGGCTTTCGTGATAAGTGGACTTGCTGTAGTCATTCTGGCCGCGGGACGCGCTGGAACACCCCGGCGTGGAGAAGCAACCGCCCCGCTGGGCCTTCTGCTTCTGCGCCGCCAAGGGTGCGGGGCGTGGCCGCAGCGCGGTCCATCATCCCGCCCTCTGCGCGCTCGGAGAGGGGACGGAAGATGTAAGCACGATGCCCAACAGCAGCTCCAGCTCAAGATGTGGTGCCTTCGGACAGCACGTCTTGTCATCTTGTCAGCAAGTGCTGTCCAGTTGGCAGCGCTTGTGCTTCACATGGAGAAGAACCGATTTCAATCAACATAACAATAATCGTTGTCAGAAGGTCTCCAGTGAACTGCTGCTCCTGTTACACACGGATAGGCACTACTGTTGGGCATCTTGCCTAGACTTTCCGTCACCTTTCCGGGCGTGCATTCACCCGGAGTTGAGGTAGAGGCGGGGGTGGCATCGGATGGGGCCAGGACGAGAACAAACCAGTTCCAGAGCGTTCTGGAACGCTCTCAGAACGTCCCAGAACGCTCTGAGAAGGCCGCGGCGCCCGATAATTTCACCTTCCAGAGCCGCCGGCTCTCAGAGATTCTCGATTCATCCTTACCCGATTTTATCCTCGTCCTTGATTCGTCTTGCACGAGCCCCTGACACCACAGGAGAAGTGGCGGCAGCGGCGTCCAGGGGGCGGTGGCGGAGGCGAGGGGGGCGGGGGGCGGGGGCAGGGGGGCGGATGGCGAGGGATGAGGGGCGAGGGGGGGGAGGCGACGTGACGAGGGGGGGGAGCGAGGGGGCGAGGGAGTGGAAGCGAGGGGGCGGAGGCGAGGGGGCGAGGGTGGGCGGGGGGGGGAGGCGAGGGGGCGAGGGGGGGGGGGGGGGGGAGGCGATCGGGGGCGAGGGTGGCGGGGCTGGACGGCCAGGGATGGAGGGCGGGGGGGAGGGGGGAGGGCAGGCGCGGGGGCCGGTGTGAGCACTCGTGGCGGGGAGCCGGGGCCAAGTCGAGAACGAGGTCGAGAGCTCGGCTGCCTCGGTACGGCCGGTTCCATACGCAGCACGTGCCGTGCTCAAAACGTCCGTGTCGATACGTTGCGTGTTGGCTCAGCGTATTGGCCCACGTTTTGGCGGACGTATCGCGTCAGACCTGCGTTGTCAGTCGACGCGTTGAGCTTCGTGTTGGTACGCTGCGTGTTGCGTGTTGTGTATCGGGGCAGCCAAGATCATGTGGTTCCAACAGGGACCCCAGGGAAAGGTTCTTCTGAGACTGGCGATGCCGATTTCTCAAGTCCATTCGGCTTCGCTCATAAGGTCGCCGCATGACGCTCTCACTCGCGTGTTCCCAAGGCTCAAATGCAACGCCGCGGTCTCAGAAATCCGTTTCGCCAGCGTCCCTTTCGGTAACGAATCAGAGAACGATGGTCAGATAACGATGGTGTTCCCCGAGTTGATATCGGGTGCGTGTTTTTTTTTCGAAAAAGGCCCCACGGAAGTCCTGGCCCTTTCCCCACAACTGGCTGTTCATCCTGAGTTGTGTTTGACAATCCGTTGGCCGCGCGCTGGGCGAGGTCCCCTGGAGGCAGAAGTTATGAAACAGATCCGCGTTGATATTGTTGTCAACAATATGTTGGGGGTCCAGGTTGACGACGGCGGTGACGGCCACGGTGTTGACGGCGGCGACGGCTTCGACGACGGCGACGAGCGAGCAACGCCAGTGGTACACTGGGGCGCGCCGCGAGGTCTACGACGTGGAGGGTAGCAAGCAACACCGGCTGGTCGTCCTCCTAGGAGGGGAAGCCTAGACCTCTTCTGTCTCACCGCGCAAAACACAATACGGTAGTTTCTCTGTGTTTGGGGACCTTTGGGGGCCTCCGCCGGGCTCTCGGGCCTTCAGGGCATGCATCGGGATGCAAAGCCGGTCGAAGGCACGACGTCGGAGGTTGAGGGGCTGTGCGGCCAGGGGTCGAGCACAGCGCCCGAAGGGCAATCTTTGTCTCGGTCCCGCCCTCGTTCCAACCCCGCCCTGGGGGACGGATCCCGCGTTTGTATTTTGTCTCAAAACGGCCAGGGCGTTGTTGTACGCCAGTTTCCAGTTTCCGCTCCTGGGAGGCTGGAGGTCGGGGATGAGGCAAAGCTCGAAAACGATAACGATTCGGCGCCACAGGGGAGCGGAAGTGAAAAAAACAGCAGCTGCAAGCGGCGCCCGCCAGATCCTCCTGAGGCCCCTGGAACGGAAGCGATTGCGTCTCGCCTTCCAAGTCGCCCGAATCCGTGGCTCGAGTTGCGGCCACATTCGTAGGGCTGGCGGCCTAAAACGTGCCCGGGAAACGCACTGAGGACCACAAAGGGACCCGATTGGACGTAAGAGCGACCTTGCGCCGGAGTGACTTTTGGCGCGGGCCCTGTGGGGTCCCCCGATCGCCGAGCGCGATACGAGAGTTGCGCCTTGCGCGGTTTGGCCTGTCCCCCCCGCGGCTCTCCGAAAGCCGCGCGCCGAGAGGTCGCTCTGCACACCTCCGGGGTCGCTCGCCGCGTGCAGCCGAGAGGCGAGGGAACGTCGAAGAGCGAGCGGGCGGGCAGGGGAGCGACGGGGGCGCCAGCGAAGCTCGGCGGCGAGCGAGGGGGGGAGCCGAGAAGGAGAAGGCCTTCTCGGAAGCTGGGGCCAGCGGGGGGCGGGGCCGACGGAGAGGCCTTCTCAGAAGGGGACTCCTCCTCCTCCTCCTCCTCCTCCTCCTCCTCCTCCTCCTCCTCCTCCTCCTCCTCCTCCTCCTCCTCCTCCTCCTCCTCCTCGTCGAGAGCGACGGGGGGGCGGGCCGAGCCCGGTGCCCGTTTTGGGGCGGCAGCGCGCGCCCCGTGCCGCCCAGCGGCGCCGCCGCCGCCAGCGGCGGAGGGGGGGCCCCGGCCCTGCCCGGCGCGAGCCCAGCGGCCACCCGAGGGGGGCGCGGACACTCCACAAGGCCTCCCAAGTTCAGGAGGGGAAAAGACACACACACACACACACACACACACACACACACACACACACACACACACACACACACACACACACACACACACACACACACACACTATTGATCGTCGACTCCCAGGAAAAGATGGGAAGACATGGGAAGTGGAGGGGGGAAGACAAAGACCCCGAGGATATGGGAAGATATGGGGAGTCCAGTTGTTTGTGTGTATTTATTTGTGTGTCCCAGGGCCCCCTCCTAAGTGGGGTCGAGGTGGACGGGACCGGAACAGCGCGCCACACCGCCGATGCATCGCCGATGCATCGCCGATGCATCGCCGATGCGGCTCGATGTGGAGCCCGATGTGCTTCACGTCGACGTCTCCGATGCATCGCCGACGTCGGCGATGCGGCGCGATCCTCCGACCACATCTGACTACTCCGACCCCGTCTGGGAGGCCTTTAGCTCGACCGCTGAGGGAGGCACGGGAACGGAGAGCAACAGCTGCACACCGAAGGCGAGCAACAACTCATGTGGAAGCGGCCAAGGAAGCGGACAGCAAGTTGCTGCTCTATGGTTGGTGCTCACAGAAAAACGAAAGCTACACGGAGCCAGCAGCGTGGATGAAGCGCGACAGCCCGAAGCGGAACAGAACGCCCTGACCGTTTCGAGAGGCATCCGGGATCGCGCGCCCCCTCCAGAGGCGCACCAGAGCACCGCTTCCGCTCTGGCAGCGGAGAAGCGGCACGAGTTCGCAGAGAACGGGCCCTGAGCGCGGCCATTCTCGCCGCGGGACGGCGGGCGCACCCCCGCATAGTTCGTCCGACAACCGAGGATCGAGGATCAGGACTTTCGGAAACGCTGTTCCGTCCTGCCTTGGGGCTCCTGGAGGCCCCTGGGAAGCCTCGTGAGACCTCCGTGCATGTGGCCTCCAGGAAATTCGGGTAGCTCTGCAGAGACCTGAGACCTCCAAGGATTTCCAGCGGATGTCTGATGCTGAAAGTGCGTTTCATTGTCATATATTTTGGATGTCCGGTAGGAGAGGTCACAATACCTTGGGAGGGGATCCACGAGCGCTGAATGGCCCCCGGAAGCAGCCGAGGACCGAACAAGTGCACGAAACGTGCACAGTTCTTCACCCCTCGTTCCCAGACCTCCGATGTCGTCCTGTTTTCACACCGTCGGCCCCCGGAGGTCTCGACCACCTCCCCAGGAGAGGTTTCTCGTCCTGCGTCGGCTCGTAGACGGCCCCGGGGCGCGGCGAGGGCGCTCAGAGGCCGGAACTGTAATCTAGTTACATGTAGTCCGACGGTATTGTTTCATGATGCGAGGGGGTCTCGGAACGGGTTGATTTGGCTGCAAGTTGGCTGTCGACACGAAATGTACTCCAGATTTCGTAATAAAAGGAAGGGGGTCTGGACCCTCCAAGACAAGCCATTTCAGACTCCCCCCCGTGGGAGAACCCTCCAAAACATCTTCCCCAGACCCCCCAGGCCCTCCAAGATGGCCTGGAAGAGACCCCCCCGAAATGAGACCCCCTCCCTTCTATTACGAAATCTGGAGTATGTTGTTTGTTCCGGTTCGGCGTTCCAGTGTGTTGTCCGGTTCCGTCACCCCTGTTGTTTGGGTCCGTCGCCGTTGTGTGTTCCGGCTCCGGTTCCCGATCCGACGCATGATCTCGTATGCCAGTTCAAGTGGGCAGCTTGTAAGATGGCATCCTGTTCAAGAGCCGAATTTTCGGAACCCGTGAGAAATCAGTTCCGCCGTTTCCAGGACCCACTAATCAGGAGCGAAAGAGGGACGCACACGTACATGAATCCACGCTGGTTTCGAAAGTGCGCATTGCGCGAACGTTGATATCACGAGGCGGGTCTCGCGGACTGGGGGGCCGTATATTCATGTGCGTGGCCAGGCGTGTACGTCTTCTTTGGGCTCCCTTACTGAGGCAGTTGCGCCCGACCATTCAGAAGACGACCCTGGGAGCCTCTTACAGTGATTTGGCGTGGCTTTCCTGCGCCTCCAGTGGTCCACAGTCGTTTGCTCGCGCCAGTGGAGGCCACTGGGGGCTACGGGAGGCCACTGCAGGCCATTGGAGGCCGCGGGGGGGCCACTGGAGGAGACGCTGGAGGCCCGATCAGGCGGGGAGGGGAACGCCTTCCCCCCCTCCGTGCGCCGAGGTGTTCTCCCTGCTGGTCCCGCTGTTCGGCCGGCCGGATGCCCTGGCCACGTGCCCCGGGGCGAACGGGGTGGCGTCAGGTCGAGCGAGCCTTGGCCTCGCTGGCGCGTCGTGGGAAGAGTCACAAACCTACCAAACCACCCCAAGCCAACCCGAAGGCCTCAACGTGCCTTCCATCTCCAGTGGGGGGGGTCGGAGAACATTGAACAAATACAGGTGGAATCCGTACCGCCCCCCCCCCAGACCCGAACTTCGGGTCTTCGGATTGGGTTGGGGTCGTCTGGTAGGTAGTCAGAGAGTGTGTGTGCCGGAGTGCGCGGGTGTGTGCGTGCACGCGTGCCTGCGCGCTCGCTGCTACATTTTTTTTTTTTACCAGCCGAAGAGGGGTGCGCCCCGTGGCGACTGAAGGGGAAAGGGGGAAACAAGGGCTCCCTCGAGGGTGCGAAGTTATTCGCGCTTCGCGCTTCGCGGTCCTCGTTCCTTCTCCTCCTCCTCCTCCTCCTCCTCTTCTCCCCCTTGGGGGGCGGCGCGAGAGCGCGAAGTTATTCGCGCTTCGCGCTTCGCGCAGCGCGAAGCGCGAACTTAGGAGCCCTTGGGGAAAGCAAGGGAGGGGAAGAAGAGGAGAAGGCAGCAGCAAAAAAAGCAGCAGTGCTCGGCCGGGCTGCGGCTCTTTGCGCAGCCCGGCGCCGCGCGCCGCGCGGCTATAGTCTGCGGCGCCCAGCAGCAGCTCGGCGAGCTCGAGGAGCTCCGCCGCAGCCAGGCGCGCCACCTGCCGCGCCACCCGGCCGCGGGCCGCGGGCAGGGCGCCGGCCCTCGGGCAGGCCGAGGTGGCGCGCGGCGACCCTGACAGGCGTCCAGCCGCGCTGGAAGGTGGCGCACACCGCCTCGCGCAGCTCCTCGGCAGCCTCCGCGGCCACCGCGTCCGCGGCCGGGCGCGGCCCCCGATGGTTGTCCCGCGGGTTGCCCCGATGGTTGTCCCGATGGTTGCCCCGATGGTTGTCCCGATTGTTGCCCCGATGGCCCCGATGGTTGCCCCGATGTCTGCCCCGATGGTTGTCCCGAAGGTTGCCCCGAAGGTTGTTCCGACGGTTGTCCCGATAGTTGCCACGATGGTTGTCCCGATGTAAGTCTGATAAGTTCCCGGATTCTGAAGTCCTGGATCTTCCATCCGATTGTTTGTGGCCAAGCCGGTTTGGAGCTATTGGTGGGAAGGAGGTCCAGCTCAGGCTGGGACAGGGCAGGGCTCCGCCCCCGCCCGCCCGCCCACGTGGAAGTAGAGAACAAATGGCGAAACGATTTCCATCGTGACGCTCTCATAAAGCGCCGCGAACCAGCGCGACGGCGTGGCATGCATTGATACCCCCCCAAAGCATCCTCGTTTGAAAATACGACGCGCGCGCTCGTTTATAACAACCAGCAGTCCCCAATGAGCCCTTGCAACAGGAGAACTAGACGGAGTGTCCGCGCGTGCTGCATTCTTTCCATCAAAAATAGTTGTCGTTATAATTTCAGAATCGAGTGCCCATGTTTGGTTGACCAAACAAATGGCCTGGCATCCGGATGGTTTTAACAAGTTTCCGCACGTCCTTTTTCTGCGAATCCCTCGGAATACTATAGGTTGTTGTGTCCGCGGCTTCATCGCATGCGACCGAGCGGGCCACTCGCGCGCGCATTCCAAAATTTTTTGATCGTTCGTGCGCGCGTGCTTGGGCAGCGCGATCCCTGTCAAATCATTCAACTCAGGCCGCTCGCGCCCGTCGGCCGCGCATGTCGAAATCGCTCCAAGACTTTCGTCGCCGATGCGTGGACACCATCATCGTCACCGGCGCGATCAGCATCGCCGCCGTAATTGGCCTTGCCGTCGTCATCTACGCTCCATGATATCGCGCGCGCCCGAGTCACCGACTCGCACTGAAGCGCCCGCGCGTCAGCGCGGCGTGCGAGGCGCGCTGGGAAGCTCCCAGCGGCGTGCGCCACAGGCGCCCGCGGCAGACTAGCTGGCCGCGGCAGACTAGCTGGCCGCTCTGCGCGCGAGCCTGCGCGCACCAGCCCGGCCGCAGCGATGCGCCAGCCAGCGCCAACTAGTCATCGCAATCACCGCGATTTAACCACGTAGCGTAGATTGCAACGCGTAGGCTGCGCCGCATCCCTTGCACCAGATAAGACGAAGTGCACGCGCACGCGTCGTCTCGCGCGCATGCCGGATCGTTTGGAAACTTTAGGTTCCGTAAGGATTTCAAATCGAGCCTCCAGAATTTTTTTAAAATTACCCTGTGACGTACCCAACACTTTCTATACATGTGTCGGTTATACTCAGGACCACTCAATGCTGACTGGCATTCTGAAGGACCCGCAGTGCGCAAGAAGAGCACCCAGCAGTGATTTCAGAAGAGCGCAGCAAGAAGAGGAACGGCATACATACAAAATGGAAACACAGGGGCGTTGACAGAAACGCGTCTGACGCACCTCCGAGTTATCCACGTGGGACGTACCTCCGCTGGGCCTCACAGGAGCCCGTGAAAGTTGCGACAGTTGCGCAGATCGCAAGCGGCGAGGTCCCGAGGTGATCCGCGTGGGACCCACCTCCGCTGGGCCTCCCAGGAGCCCACGAAAGTGGCAACAGTTGCGCAGATCGCAAGCCCCCAGGGGCGGCGAGGTCCCGAGGTGATCCGCGTGGGACCCACCTCCGCTGGGCCTCCCAAGAGCCCACGGAAGTGGCGACAGCTCCGCAGATCGCAAGCCCCCGAGGGCACCGCGAGGTCCCGAGGTGATCCGCGTGGGACCCACCTCCGCTGGGCCGGCCTCCCAGGAGCCCACGAAAGTGGCGACAGTTACACAGATCGCAAGCCCCCCAGGGGGCGGCGAGGTCCCGAGGTGATCCGTGTGGGACCCACCTCCGCGCCTCCCAGGAGCCCACGAAAGTGGCGACAGCTGCGCAGATCGCAAGCCCCCCAGGCGGCGGCGAGGTCTCGAGGTGATCCGCGTGGGACCCACCTCCGCTGGGCCTCCCAGGAGCCCACGAAAGTGTAGATCGCAAGCCCCCCAAGGGGCACCGCGAGGTCTCGAGGTGATCCGCGTGGGACCCCCCTCCGCTGGGCCTCCCAGGAGCCCACGAACGTGGCGACGGTTGCGCAGATCGCAAGGCCCCCAGGGCACCGCGAGGACCCGAGGTGATCCGCGTGGGACCCACCTCCGCTGGGCCTCCCAGGAGCCCACGAAAGTGGCGACAGCTGCGCAGATCGCAAGCCCCCCAAGGGGCACGTCGAGGTCTCGAGGTGATCCGCGTGGGACCCACCTCCGCTGGGCCTCCCAGGAGCCCACGAACGTGGCGACAGTTGCGCAGATCGCAAGCCCCCCAGAGGGCGGCGAGGTCCCGAGGTGATCCGCGTGGGACCCACCTCCGCTGGGCCTCCCAGGAGCCCACGAAATTGGCGACAGTTGCGCAGATCGCACGCCCCCCAGAGTGCGGCGAGGTCCCGATGTGATCCGCGTCCAGGGGGCGGCGAGGTCCCGAGGTGATCCGCGTGGGACCCACCTCCGCTGGGCCTCCTATGAGCCCACGAAAGTGGCGACAGCTGCGCAGATCGCAAGCCCCCCAGAGGGCGGTGAGGTCCCGAGGTGATCCGCGTGGGACCCACCTCCGCTTGGCCTCCCAGGAGCCCACGAAAGTGGCGACAGTTGCGCAGATCGCAAGCCCCCCAGGGGCGGCGAGGTCCCGAGGTGATCCGCGTGGGACCCACCTCCGCTGGGCCTCCCAAGAGCCCACGAAAGTGGCGTCAGTTGCGCAGATCGCAAGCCCCCCAGGGGGCGGCGAGGATCCGAGGTGATCCGCGTGGGACCCACCTCCGCTGGGCCTCCCAGGAGCCCACGAAAGTGGCAACAGTTGCGCAGATCGCAAGCCCCCCAAGGGTCACCGCGAGGTCTCGAGGTGATCCGCGTGGGACCCACCTCCGCTGGGCCTCCCAGGAGCCCACGAACGTGGCGACAGTTGCGCAGATCGTAAGCCCCCAGGGCACCGCGAGGTTCCGAGGTGATCCGCGTGGGACCCACCTCCGCTGGGCCTCCCAGGAGTCCACGAAAGTGGGGACACTTGCGCAGATCGCAGCCCGGCGGCACGAGAGAAGAGGATAGGGGAACACAGGAAACAGGAGAGGAGGAGGGGAGGAGGGGGGAGGAGTAGGAGGAGGAGGAGGAGGAGGAGGAGGAGGAGGAGGAGGAGGAGGAGGAGGAGGAGGAAGAGTTGGACGGGGCGACCACACTGATCGATTCAAAACGAGTACCCAACCATAGGAGGGTTGGGAAACACACACACACACACACACACACACACACACACACACACACACACACACACACACACACACACACACACACACACACACACACACACACACACACACACACACACACACACACGCACACACACACACACACACACACGGTTTGGCAACATTGCTTTCCAACATAAAGCTTGCGCGTGTTTTTGCGAACTCTTCAACTTGGGAAATTTGTTTCCAACATGTTCATATCATGATACCAGACGGGCTTTGCGCGTGCGCGCAAATCGAAATCGTTCGAACGCCCATGCGCCCAAGTCGTGATAACCCTTTGCAACACATGGGACGAAGTGTTTGTGCGCGCGTCGTCGCGCACATGCCCAAATCTGAAGAAACAAAGAAGAACTTAGGTTTCGCAGGGATTTCAAAACCGAGGTTTTGAGCCCGCAACAGAAACTGGCGCTCGCGCTCTTGCGAACCCCTAAGGAAATCATTGTTGTGTCCCTCAACATGTTCATGGAAGTCTGCGGCACGGGCCACTCGCGCCGCATGCCGAACTCATTCGAAAAGGCGTCGCGTGCGTGCTGGGGGGCGCGATCCGTGTCAAATGATACCATGCGGCCTCTCGCGCGTCGGCCGCGCGCGCATATCGGACTTTTCCCAGAACCTTCATCACCCACGCGAGGACGCCGTCATCGTCGTCAGCGTGATCAGCATCGGCGCCGTCACAGCTGTCAACATCGTCACCAGCGTCGCTACTATCATCATCGTGTGTCATGATACCCCGCCCGCCCAATTCGCCGACTCGAAACGAAGAGCCCGCTGGGATGTGCCCAGCGGTCAGCGCCACCGCGGCCGCGTCAGTCGCGCCAAACCAGCTGGCCGCTGCGTGCGTGTATGCGCGGGCTGGCGCGGCCGCAGAGATGCACCAGCCAGCGCCAAGCACTCATCGCAACCGCCGCCGCATTGGTTTTGCAAGCTGGTGGGTGAGATGTTTGCCAGAGCGTGGGATTTGTCAAATCGTTTGTAAAACCCAGTTGCACCACGTAGATTGCACTTTCAACGGGATGCGCGTAAGGACCCACGCAATCGTGGCGGAACACATCATCATTCACGCCGGTTGTTTTTTTCCACAGCGGGGGCCCGGGCGCGCCAGGCAACGGGGGGAGGCGGGGCGGCCGGCGAGGGAGGGGCAGTGGCGGCGGCGGCAGCGGGAGCGGCGGCCTTCGTCCCCGGCCGGCAGCGGCGGCTTTGCCGCGGAAGCGGCGGCGGTGGGGCTAGGCGCGCTCGCGCGCGAGAGAGTGCAGGAAAACAAGGCGTCCCCGCGGCACCGGGTCCTGTAGCCGAGGGCAAAACACGGTGACCATGACCAAGCTATCGCGGGGTTTAGTCGACGTCGATCCTGGTCATGGTGTGTTGTGGCCGTCGCCGACCCGCGATGATGATCCACGGACTGACGATATCCAAGAAAGACGAGAACCAAGATCGTCTTTTCTCTTTGTCGAGGCTTTGTATTCTTCCCACTACGGTGGTCATTCGTCATGTCTTGGTTCCCGCCAGGGGCAAGAACATGCGATGAACCTGCGTCAGGCCCGCGTGCGTACCTTTGTATACGTCCGTTTGGCTCCCATCGCGGGGTTTTCCACTACCCCCGGGGCCTTCTGAAAGCGACTCGGAGTGAGAAGGCGACCCAAGGATTGCAAAAAAAACAAGGATTGATTGCAAAAAAGGATTGCAAAAAAATGTGTTTTTTGCAATCCTTCGTCCAAGGGTTTTTTTGCAATCCTGGGTTTTTTTTGCAATCCTTCATTGCAATCCTTCGGTTTTTTGTTTTGCAATCCTTCGTTTTTTTTGCAATCCTTCGTTTTTTTGCAATCCTTCGTTCAAGGGAATGGCTCGGGACTTCCACAGGGCCCCCGGTAAACAGCACATCGTATCGGACAACTGGGCGGCCAAGCCCTCCATGCGCCAAGTGTTCCCGTGTCACCACCGTCGTGCCCAACCGGGTCCGTCCTCGGCCAGCTGCGGCGGCGGTCCTCGTCGGCAGGCGACGGGATCGTCCGCGCGCCCGCGCGCTTGGGGGCCGGGAGGTACCGCCCGAGCGCTGGGTCCCGCGAGAACCTGGCCGTGCTGTTCCGGCGGGGGAGCTACCTGGCCGTGCTCCAGTGCCCGACGATGGGCCGGGGCTGGCGCCGGCAGTGGTCGGGCGAAGGAGGGGGAGAGGGGAGCAGGGCGAAGGCGAGGGTGAGGTCGAGGGGGGGGGGGGGAGGAGGAGGGAACCGAGCGGCCGTCGTCCCGCCAGCCCCGCACCGCGGAACACCAGGGCGCGCCGAGGAGCAATGGGCGCCTGAAGGGGGGTGCAAAGTCTGTTGCATGCAGCTGTTCCCAGGCCGAATCATGACGAGCGTTTGTTGTTGCTGTATGTGTGCGGCCTCTACTTGGATGACAGCGGGAATATTTGCGTGGATGCTAAGGCGGCTTATGCATTGCCTAGCATAAGTTCCAAGTGGGTTCGAGATTAGAAGTTAGAAGCGCCCTCAGAAGCTTCAGATCTGGACTGAGTGGGCTGCGCCGACTCAGCGGAGTTATCGAACCCACCCAGGCCACTCAGGGCCCTTGTGACCCACTTCTAATTTTGCGCACGCCGCATAGAACCCACTCTAGCATCCGCTTGTACCCCCCCCATCTCCCTAGCGACCGCTGCGGTGATCCCATCAGACCCCCTCGCGCCGTGAACAAATCTTGACGAGCTCTTCTGTTTCTGCACACGTGCTTGGCCTCCAGGGGCCCTCGCTGGGCGCGCCGGGACTGCGAACAAAAGCACCCGTGGATAAAAGCATGGCCAGGGGGGGGGGCAAGTGGTCGGCAGCTTTGGGGTCCGACACGGCGTGTCGAACATCACCGCGTCGGGGGTCTGGGGCTGCGGCGCCCCCGCGGGGCGCCGGGCGCCTTTGCTCGATACGTTGGCACCTCCAGGCGCCCCCTGGCGCCGGGCACACCAGCTGCGTGGCCCGATCCGCTAGTCAGAGGCCAACGGCATACGTGCACGTGCACGGTCCGCCTCTGCTGGCCCGCATTCGAGCGCGGTCCCTCGTGCATGCGGGAGGGCGGAGGGCGTGCACGTGCGCATGTCTCTGCCGGCTCAAGTCTGGCCCCTCCCCCAGGACTGGCTTCTCCTCGGCAGCTCGTCTATAAGGGCGCTGAGGGCTGGGCGTGCGCGTGCGTGGGGATCTCAGGGCCGTCAGGGCTGGGGTCATGAGATCTCCCAGGTTTAAATGCCCCCCCATCCTTCTTCTTCCAGCGCGTCCCCTGCCCCCCCCCCCCCCGTTCGCACATGCCTCGGGCCTTGCTGCGCACCTCCTCCGCTCCATCGCACCCGATTCTCTTCCTGGGCTGCCTTCTGACGGCCCCCCGGGGCCGTGCAAGGGCCCTGGTAGGCCGAAAATTGTGGCAGGTGCCCGCAATATGTGGTTCGGCACGTCGGGGTTTGGGAGGATTGATGGCCTTCTAGTCATAACGTCATACCTCGGGTCTCCAGCGTTCCGTCCGGACGATTCGGGCACCCGTTGAACACTTCCGTTTTGGCGCAGTTGCTGGAGAGCACCGCGGGTTGCAGAACTGCCATGAGCTGGCGAAAAGGTCCATCTTCGTCGTCGTCCCGAGGAATGGAGCTTGCTATGTTCAAGATGCGCTTTCCAAGGCGGCTCCTGACCCAGGCCAAAGAGACAACGGCGAACCCACGGCAGAGAGAGGAGACGAGAGAGGGTAAGGAGGAGGAGGAGGAGGTTGATGATGATGATGAGGAGGATGAGGAGCAGGAGGAGGAGGAGGAGGAGGAGGAGGAGGAGTAGTTAGCAATTCAGACATATAGACCCAATTATTTGGACTGCTGCAAAAGCCCTCGACCAGAATTCAAGTCCAAGGGTCCTGCTGCCTTTCTTCAGCCTCCATGGGATGTCAGGAGAGGAGGAGGGGCGAGGCTGAGATCACCAGAGCTCTCAGCGGGCGATCCCGCTGCCGGCAACAATCATCAGAGTCCAGGAGGAGGAGGAGGAGGAGGAGGAGGAGGAGGAGGAGGAGGAGGAGAAGGCGGAGAGAGAAGGGATGACAGGGAGGAAGAGGAGGAGGAGGAATAAGGGAAAGAGGAAGAAGAGGAGGAGGAGGAGGAGGCCCCTGCAGAAGGCTCACGTGACCGTTGTCAGGTCTTGATTCGAGGCTCATGTGGAGCCCAAGGCAGAGTACATGAGTTCATGTGGAGGTTTTGCACCCAACGGCCGCTGCAGGCTGTCCCTGTCGAGGGCCCTACTGCAACCGGCATGCTGGCTTGGGAGAGATGGGGGGACAGCGGGGACGAGAAGGACCAGTGTAAACCCAAGAGTCATCAACGATGTTGGAATAAACCCTCCCTCCAAGCCTCCTCTTCATAGGCCCCTACAACGGTTCATTTCCAGTGAGGGAACTGCCTCGTTGGAAGACAACCGTCAGAAGACCCTGAAGCATGCCAAACCATCGCCGCGGATCAACCTGACTGCTGCGTTTGGACGATCCTGAATCGTGCCAGAACGCCCTTCTTGGAACTTCAACACTTCGAACGAACGTAATTGCTGCACGCTCTTAATCCTGGATCGTGCCAAAATACAATTTCTGGTATTTTGATCCTGGGAATCCGTGAAATCCTTGCACATGTTTAAAGCGAATGTGCGCGGCGCTAAGGCGGGAGCCATATGCTGAAAACGAACCGCCCTCAATCCGTGAAACTCTTGCAGTTTTTTGAACGAATGTGCGCGGCGCTAGGGCGAAAGCCACATTTTCAAAAGGAGCCGCCCTCAATCCGTGCAGCTCTTGCAGTTTGTTTAACGAATGTGCGCGGCGCTAAATTTTGAAAACGGTCTCCCTTCAATCCGTGATATTCTTGCAAATACTTGAAACGAATGTGCGCGGCGCTAAGGCGAGAGCCACATGTTGAAAACGACCCGCCCCCCATCTCTGAAACCGTTGCCAATTTGGAGGCTTCAGGGTCATCCGTGGTGAGGACGGCTCAGGCGAAACGCCCGGCCCTCGCTAAAAACTGGCCTCTGGGTGCGACAGTGAGAAGTTCATGTATAAGGAAAAGGAAAGGAGGATAAGTAGGCGGAAGAGGAAGAGGAGGAGGTGGTGGAGGAGGATGAAGAGGCGGAGGAGGAGCAGGAGGAGGAGGAGGAGGAGGAGGGGGGGGGGGTGGGGGGGCAGCTCCCATTCAAAGAGCTCCAGGCGCGCGGTACACATGCGGCCAGAGAGGAGGAGGAGGAGGAGGAGGAGGAGGAGGAGGAGGAGGAGGAGGAGGAGGAGGAGGAGGAGGAGGAGGAGGAGGAGGAGGAGGAGGGAGGAGGAGGAGGAGGAAGAGGAGGAGGAGGAGGAGGATGGGGAGGAGGGGGAGGGGATGGATGCGGAGGAAAGCCCACGACCTCCTCTCGAGTGTTCGTGAGCAGTGTGGCGACACCGCCGTGCTTGGGTGTCGCCCGCGCCCCGAGACCCGTTCCGCGCGCGCAAGCGAGTTATTGCCATGCCCCTCGCCCGCACGCGGCCCCATGGCAGGTTCTTCTCATTTCGCTTCGTTTACTGTTGTGCGGAGAGTCTTCGACTGACTCGGTCATGCCGCAAGATCACATAAAGCACGTTTTCGATTGGACGATGTGGGTAGTATTCGTAACCTCGTTTGGCCTCGCAGTCGCAGCAGAAACCCCAACACGGTTCGTACATGTCAAGAGTTGCCGAACGCATGAGGACGCAGGGCTCCGTGAGAGGAGCACATCGTTGTGCGTAGTGCTCTCGGGGGCTGCTCAGTCCCTTTGCGCGGTGAGCCGGCGGTGAGCCTCATTGTGCGCGGCATGAGGGAAACAAAAATACTTCGCCAACGATTTGTGGCAGGCCGCAGCAACATACCGATACGAGTAACACAAGTGGTACGTTGTTTTCTACGGAAGAAACTTGGCAGCGGAACGCAGATGCACCAAGTTTTGACCCCCCCCGGCTATGGGCGCATCATTGTGTGATGATTACGATGCACCGCCTCATCACGTTCCTCCACCCATTCTAGTGCTTCCAGAGCCACCGCCTCTTCGAATGTGGTCCACCGTAAAATACAAGGCTTGCGACAGCACAGCTTCAGCTCGGAAAGGAATTGACAGTGCGTCTGCGCCGACCGCGGCGCCCAGGGTGCTGCCTGCAGCCGCCTCGCGTTCGGGATCCTAGGCCTAGTCTTGCCGCCTGTTCGTTCTCTTTCCGCGCGCCGCCATGGCGCCGAGCTGCTGCCTGCAGCCGCCACGCTGGGGTGCAGGGCTTGGTTTTGCCGCCCGCCACCCTCCGCCGGCCCAGCATTTTGCTGGACACACCCCTTGGCGGTACCTTTTCGCCGCTCCTTCCGCGCCCGCACTGGGGGAACGCGCCGCCACCGCTTGCTGCTTCAGGCTGCTGATTGTATCGTGCAACTGACCTTCTGGTTCCCGCGCTGGGCCCCGCCGCCGGTGGAACCCCAGCGCAGCAGCCACCGCAGTCCCCGCCGGCGGGGCTGGCCGCGCCACCCGCTTCGGGCGTGACCCGTCCCCTTGAGCGGCCCTCGTTCCGTTTTTCCCACCTCCCCCCCCCCTTTCGGCCGCCCGCCCTTCCTTCTTCCCCCCTTCCTGCATGGTGGCACCATTCGCTACAACGGTGCCCCCGCTTGGTTAGGTCATTAACCAGCGCAGATACTCAACCCAGTCGCCGTTTCAACAGCAAGCGCCGACCACTGGCAAAATTCTAATAGTTGTTGAAAGTTCGAGTGGGAGTCAGCCCGACAGCATAAAATCGCAAGCACGCCTAGCGATTCAAATGACAGCGGGGCTTGCCACAAGAGCATACCACCGAATGCTACAGCCTCAAGTTCTTTCCAGCAAATTGGCTGCAGCCTCAAGTTCAGCCCGACACGTTGCCACAGTGGCAGTTCACTTTCAAGCTGCTGCAGTATCAAATTCATAGCATCACGTTGCTACGGCTTCAAGTTCAGATCAACATGTTCCCACCGCCCTGCCCAGCGAGGCTGGTGTTGTTGGGGGTTTGGGCAACTTGTTCCAATATTTCAATGCGCCGCCACGCCAAGACATATTTTCCGACAAAATAGCCATGCTAGGGGAGGGCAGGTGCAACGATTGGTCACTCTTGCTTTAAACAAGTTGGGTACTTGCAGTGCCCAACTCATCCGCAAAAGCATTTGCCCCTGGCAGGAATTTGCGGGTCAAGTGCGTTCGTCATCCGTCAAAGCGTATTGGTTGAAGCGCTCACAAGGACAGCAGTTGGCAAGCCGCATACATGAAGGGTGCGCAGATCATCGCAGATAGCAGTGGGTGGCCTCTTCAACCTCTGCCCCCCTTTGGCCCGCCCACTTCACTATTTCATATTCCCCTGCACTACCCTCTCCCTCTCCTTCTCCTCCCCTCGCTTGTGGGATATGCATTGCTGTGCGTGGCGAGCACCGGAGCAGTGGAGGGGATTCCGCAGATTCCGCCAGCAGTCTGAGCCGTTGCGACACAGCCACTGCCCGTCCCGCGCTTTGGCTTCTTCTCCCGTCGCAGCAACCATGATATACCCGAGGTTACCCGATTATGAATGCTAAAACACACCGTGCGTGTCGACCGATGCGAGCGCATCGACCGCTTCGGTCTTCGGCGGGGGCAGCCACAGTTTCAAGCGATGGCCCTCAGTGAGGGCATCCTGTCACCGAGACCGCAGTTTCAAAGGGCATCTGGGGAGGACGTGGAGGACGGGTGGTGGGTGGTTCTAATTAGGTGGAGGAGAAGGAGGAGGACCGTGTGACATGTGCCCAGGCTCTCACAGACTCGCGTTTTGGCGCTGTTATAGAATGCCCGGTGCCAGGTCTTGACAGTTTCACTCGAGATGTGTTGGCTGGGTGCTCGCAGTCCGGCGTTGCACAGACAAGTGCGTTCTCCGCCATCATCAATTATATTTTTCTTCGTCTTCCTCGTTTGCCCCCTCCCGCCCTTTGGCCTCCTCTCCCGTCGCAGCAACCATTATGTTTTGTGGAGCTTGGAGGTGGTTGAGAAACTCTAAGGGCATTTTTAAATTGGCCCTGCACCGACCTTATGGCGGAAAGGTTCGGACATGATGGTGTGTGCGTGAAACCGCCCACCGCATCGGCACTTCACGCGCGGTTTTCGAGGGCATCTTTACATCGGGCTTGTCGCGAAGATGTATGGAAGAGCGTACCACCCCAGGGCATCTTTACATTGCCCCCCCGGGGCATCGTTACATATGCCGCGAGGCGCACCTGTAGACTGGTGGATGAACGTGTTTGTCGTCTCGGATGTTTTGTTGCGCCATGGTTTGTTGTTTGCCGTGTCGTGTAGAGATCAACGCTGCTCTCTGAGAGCGTGTCGCAACGAAGTGTGGCCAGTGTTGCGCTGCACGTGGGAGGGGGAAAGTCCGACAGGAATGAGGAGGTGGAGGTGGTGGAGGAGGAGACACGTGCTCGCAACTTCAATGTGTCGCATCGCCGTTGTGCAGCAACTGCCGTACCGTCCCTCGGCGAGGGCCTTGACCTGGGAAGGGATTGGGATAGATGAGTTGGTAGTGGGTGGGGGTTACCGTGCGGCGTGTACCTACTCCGTTAGGGCATCCTGCCTAAGCTCCTTTATGAGCCTCTGATTGTTCCACTTATCTTTGTCTCTCGTTTCACCTTCTGGCACCCTGCCACACCTTCTTGCGTTGTTCTTCTGTATCTATGTGATTATTTGCTTACCCATACGGGTCAGGTTGCACGACACTGCGAGCTCCGCTCAAAGTTTGCCCAGCGCAAAGAGAAGGTGGAGGAGGATGAGGAGGAGGAGGAGGAGAAGGAGGAGCAGAGGGAGGACGACAGGAGGAGGAGGAGGAGGAGGAGGTGGAGGAGGGAGGAGGAGGAGGAGGAGAAGGAGGGGGAGGAGGAGGAGGAGCAGGAGGAGGAGGAGGAGGAGGAGGAGGAGGAAAGGGAGGACGACAGGAGGAGGAGAGGGAGGAGGAGGAGGGAGGAGGAGGAGGAGAGGGAGGACGACAGGAGGAGGAGGGGAAGGAGGAGGAGGAGGAGGAGGAGGAGGGAGGAGGAGGAGGAGAAGGAGGAGGAGAAGGGAGGAGGAGACGTCAGCAGGAGGAGGAGAAGGAGGAGGAGGAGGAGGAGGAGGAGGAGGAGGAGGAGGGAGGAGAGGTGGAAAAGGCGGAGGAGGAGGAGGAGGTGGAGGAGGATGTGGAGGAGGAGGAGGAGGAGGAGGAGGAGGAGGAGGGGAAGGAGGTGGAGGAGGAGGAGGAGGGAGGAGGAGGAGGAGGGTGAGTTGGAAAAGGAGGGGCGAGGCTGAGGCCACTAGATCTCTCAGCGGGCCACCGCCGCCGCGGCCCGCCGCCCGAGGTACGAGCCCGAGCTGGGCAGCGTGCGCACTGTCGGGCAGCACGCGCTTGTGCCCCCTGGGGACCTCGCCGCCACTGCCGCCGCGGTGGAGTTCCGGCCGCAGGCGGGCCCGCTGGGGCGCCTCGCAGTTCGGGTGTTGCCGGAGTCTCGCGGGGTATAGTCCTTGCCGGGGCGGTGAAACGGTGGGGGTCGGGATGGGTCAGCCACGCGCAGGGGGGGTGGGGGGAGAAAGGAGAGCTTCTTAGAAGCACCCCTGCTTCTTTGAAGGCGCGGGCCTTATCTATAGATGTGAGGCCGGCGCCTTCTAAGAAGCAGCCTCCTCCTAAGAAGCCCTCCCCCCTCCCTCCGCCCCCTTGTGCGCGCGGGGATTGGGGTCGGTTAAACGACACTGAGGAGGGGCCCTGAGGCAATCGGTCAAGCGGGGGGGGGCGAAAGCAAATCGGCTCAAGCTCGGTCCTCGGACCCCTCTCCGTGGCCCGAACGCACCCGTCTCTCGAGCCGCGTCTGGCCGTGGCGACGATCGGGGAGGCCCCTCTGGGGAGAACCCACACCGACCTCGGCACGAGCGAGATTTGGCCGTCCTGGGACGCCGCATCGACCACGACCAGTACGAAGCTAGCTTCGGCGTCCCGACAGCTGTGGCATGCGCAAGACATCCCCCAGGGTGTATCCTCGATGTGGCTGCGGTCGCTTGCTGTCCCCGCAAGGCGGGCCCGCCGGGGGCCGCCCGCGGCGTGCCCCCCAGGATTTCCGAGGGCGCCCCCCACGGCCTGCAGAGCACCCTTCACGATGCCCAGAGCGCCCCGGGGGCCCCCACAACTGAGCGGAAATCTGGGGGACACCTTGGGCCAGGAGCACCTGTAGCGACCCCCGAGGGGTCGGGTGGCAACCCTCGCCGCTGGTCCAGATGTCCGACGATCTGTGATATGTTCAGCTCTCTGGGGTTGCAAACGGGTCCCGACGATATCTATATATGCATACATACATACATCCATACATACATACATGCATGCATGCATGCATGCATGCATGCATACATACATACATACAATCACACAATCACACAATCACGCAATCACACAATCACACATACATACATACATACATACATACATACATACATACATACATACATCCATACATACATACATACATACATGCACGCATGCATGCATGCATGCATGCATGCATGCATGCATGCAAGCATACATACATACATACATACATACATACATACATACATACATACATACATACATACATACATACATACATACATACATACACACAAGCACACAATCGTACTTACATGCGTACATACATCCATACATCCATCCATCCATCCACCCATCCATACATACATACATGCATGCATGCATGCAGGCATTCATGCAGACATATATACATACATACATACATACATACAGACAGACAGACAGACAGACAGACAGACAGACAGACAGACAGACAGACAGACAGACAGACAGACAGACAGACAGACAGACCGACCGACCGACAGACAGACAGACAGACAGACAGACAGACAGGCATATTTACACACGTACATCTATATATATATATATATATATATATATATACGCATATCTGTAGATGTGTGTATACATATCTCCGATCTAAATATGTTTGACAGGGTGGAGACCCCCCCGAACGAATTTCGACCGCCCCGGGGGCTCACGAGACCCCCAAGACGGCCCCAAAGATATCCAGTACAGTTGCAAGACGGCCTCAGAGCGCTCCAAGACAGCTTCAGATGGCTCCACGATAGTTCAGGAGACTCCCACAACTCCCAAAAAGGCCCCAAGTAGCTCCAAGACGGTGCAAGAGGCCCCCCGATGACGCCCCGACGAGCCCCAAGAGAACGCCAGGCAAGCCAAACGCTGTCCATTCCTCAGGGGAAACATACATTTTTGGCTATAGTCGTTTGTATGGATTCCAAGGCTCCAGAACGGTTCAAGCGGCCCCCCACATCGCCCCAAAACGGATCCAGAGGCTCCCACAAAGCTTCAAGCGGACCCCAAGACAGCCCCAGAGAGTCCCACGACGGCCCAAGGTAACCCGAGACGGCCCCAAGAGTCTCCGGAGAAAATCCCGAGACAGCTCCAAGAAGCCCCCAGCAGAGCCCCACGACGGCCAGAGCCCCCCGAGAGATCCCTCAAGGGCCCCAAAATGGTCCAAAAGGGCCCCAAGACGGTCCAGAAGGGCCTCTAAGAAAACCCGGAAGCGCCCAATAACAAGGACTCGCCTCCCATTCCGTTCGTGTTTCCCCTTCTGTGCTCACGACTGCCCCAAGGGGTCGGCGGATTCGGACCTATTACTTGGATGTCTACACCTGCGATCGGCTCAATTCTTCACATGGGGCCGTGTTTGGATTTCCTATCACACGGATGGCTTTGTATCCGCATCATGCACAAAAGCACGTATGCATGATCTTTGAATTGATTATCCCATGTTGCCTGAAATTTCAGCCAAGATCCAGCGCTCTTCGTTTGCAATTTGCCATGCCGATGTTATTGCCTTCGGACAACTTGGCTTTTCGCACCTTGCATGCATGGGAAGGCGAGGCTCAGGACTGCTCCCAGGGAAGCGCTGAAGGGTCAAGAGTGGCGCTCTCGCCCCCGAAAGCTTCCAGTAAAACCCAACAGGCACTCAAAGACCACCAGACACCCCAAATAGCTCTCGCGAGTATCCCGGAAAGCCTTCCAAGGAGGTCGCGCAATAATATTTGAAATTGTTGACAGGGGCGCGTCGGCAAACGGCATGTAATATGAAGAGGAAACATGAGGGACAGGTGATATGTAACATAGTTATAACAACGATGGGCTTGACGGCAACAAAGAACATTGGTACTTGTTGGTTTTGTTGTTATGTTGTTCTTTCTCTCTCTCTCGCTCTCTCGCTCTCCCTCTCTCTCTTTCTTTCTCTCTCTCTCTCTCTCTCGCTCTCTCCCGCGCCCCGCCTGCCGCCTGCGCGCCGATCCTGAAGGGCCACCTCGCACGTCGATATTTGTACACGCAGGTTTGTGTACATAAAAGTACACCTTTATACATTCGTATATCTAGTTAGATACAGATAACATCAATATTCACGCCTTTACGGCCACCCTTCAGGTGATACAGCGGTTCTGTGTGGGTGGGGACCAATTGATGACAGCCGCTATGATTGTCATGGTGAGGATGCTGGCGATGCGCCCGCGAGATTTTCTCCGAACGCAGTGCCCGCGCCAATGGGTCAAGGCAGAGGAAGACGCGCTCGGCGGGATCTCAGCCTTAGCTCCTTATTTACCGAGAACACGCACTGGTCCGAGCCAACGGCGGAGCCCGACGCACCGGCAGAGCCCGGCGCCGCGGGCTCCTGCGCACGGCTGCCTGCGGCGCCAGCCGCCGCCTGCGCGACCCCCTGTGTACCCCAATGGCGCTGGCAGAGCCTGGCGCCGTGGAAGCACGGGTGAGGGCGTTGGCGAAGAGGCGCGCGCCGCACGCGGACGCGGCAGCGCGAAGGTGCGGGTCGTGCGAAGTTTCTGCCTCAGCCAAGCAGCTGCGGTGACTGGTGGTGGTGGCGGTGGTGCTGACAGTGGTGGTGGTGGTGGTGCTGATGGTGATGGTGGTGATGGTGGCGATAGACTTGGGCCACCACCAGGACTCCATCGGGGCACCATCGAGACACCATGGGGACAGCAATCGGAACACCAATCGGGACACCACCAGGACGCCATCGGGATACCACCCAGAAACCATCAGGGCACACAACGGAACACCACCAAGACACCATCGGGACACAACCGGGACACCACGGGACTCCATTGGGACACCATCGGGACACCATCGGGACACCCATCGGGACACCAATCGAAACACCACAAGGACACCATCGGGACGCCACCCGGACACCATCGAGACACCACCCGGACACCATCGATCGGGATTTCAGTCGGGACACCACCGGGACACCATCGGGACACCACCGGGGCTCCATGGGGGCACCATCAGGACACCATCGAGACACCGCAGGGACACCATCGGGACAGCAATCGGAACACCAATCGGGACACCAATCGGGACACCACCAGGACACCATCGGGATACCACCCAGAAACCATCAGGGCACATAACGGAACACCACCAAGACACCATCGGGACACAACCGGGACACCACGGGACTCCATTGGGACACCATCGGGACACCATCGGGACACCCATCGGGACACCAATCGAAACACCACAAGGACACCATCGGGACGCCACCCGGACACCATCGAGACACCACCCGGACACCATCGGGATATCAATCGGGACACCACCAGGCCACCATCGGGACACCACCGGGACTCCATGGGGGCACCATCAGGACACCATCGAGACACCGCAGGGACACCATCGGGACAGCAATCGGGACACCAATCGGGACACCAATCGGGACACCACCAGGACACCATCGGGATACCACCCAGAAACCATCAGGGCACACAACGGAACACCACCAAGACACCATCGGGACACAACCGGGACACCACGGGACTCCATTGGGACACCATCGGGACACCATCGGGACACCCATCGGGACACCAATCGAAACACCACAAGGACACCATCGGGACGCCACCTGGACACCATCGAGACACCACCCGGACACCATCGGGATATCAATCGGGACACCACCAGGACACCATCGGGACACCACGGGGACTCCATGGGGGCACCATCAGGACACCATCGAGACACCGCAGGGACACCATCGGGACAGCAATCGGGACACCAATCGGGACACCAATTGGGACACCATCGGGACACCACAGGGACACCACCGGGACACCATCGGGACACCATCGTGACGTCATTGGAACACCAATCGGGACACCAACACCACCAGGACACCATCGGGACACAACCGGGACACCATCGGGACGTTGTACGGGGCACCATCGGAACACCAATATGAAAAACAATCTGGACAGCACCGGGACACCATTCGGACACCATCGGGACGCCTTTGTGACACTTTCGGCACACCATCGGAACACCAATCGAGACACCACCGGGACACCATCGTGGCACCACCTGGACACCATCGGGACACCAATCGGAA